GAAGGGTTTAGGTGAGACGCCCTTTGCTTAAAATCGTCTGTGCGTAATTGTTGTGGTTGCGTATTTACTATTACAATTTTATTATCTGTTAGAAAAGAAATATTGTAAGCATAGTATACATTGTTTTAGTAGTAAAGATTAAAAAATAAAGATATCAGGCTTATAATTTTGAACGCCAGACGCGTGTTTTGTCCACAAAAGACTCATCATTGACGCTCGAATCAAGAAAGTTAAAAGCCAAATCAAGCAAAAAGTTGAAGAGCATTGAGGATCCAAAATTCCAAAAGGTTTGCCAAATCCAAATATAGCTAAGTTAATTAACTCCTTGTGTAGAAAACGTTCGCATTCTAAATATAAAAGTAAGTAGATGTGTATGAATGCCAATGAGACGACTATCCACCAGAGACCAAATGACGTAGAAATTAATAACTATAGGTCACCGTACGGCCTTCAACAATGAGCTGCTTTGATTATTTTAAATACTTACTGGTCTCTAACAAATTTGCCGATTTCAATTAAATTTTATGACGAGAAAACAATTAAGGAAGTGTTACTTTTGATTTTTTGTTTGTTTTCTTCAGAGACAACATGTATGTATATATACATTGTATATATACAAACAACAGCCGTGGCTATATATCTTATCTAGCTTCCTGTAATCGCGACCACATTTTGAGACTGCATTCCAAAATTATGTGCCGTCTTTTAATTTCTGGTTCAAGTAAGTGGTCATCCTGTTGGTATCTGAACTGTGCAGGTTTCTTATTGTGGTGTTTACTTCGGCATATGGCCTTGATAGGTAAAGGGAGGGTTACATTGGTAAAACTTTATTTTAACCCGATCACATTTTGTGCTTGCAATAAGTGAAGCTAACTGGACTATGAGATATTTGGTAATTCCTGTAAAGTATCCTTTTTTTATATATGATTTAGATTGATATTTCTTTCTTTTGTGTTCTTGCCCGTGACAAGTCAGTGAGAAGGTTAGGTCTTAGAGTACAATGTTTGATTTATCGTCAAATCCAAACTAGTTTATGCTAGTTCAGCCGTTTTTGGACTCTAAAAGCATATGCATGATTAAAAAACAAAATATATTGATAAAATCCAGAAAGTACAAAAGAGGTGAACAAAACAATTCCATGAAACAAAAAACAACTTGTTGTGAAACCGTCTGTCTTGATAAGCTTAGAAAGCCTATCAACATTTAGCTAACTTAAAGATTAAGAGAGGACAAAACAGAGAGACGAAAGATAGTAAAGGGATAATCAAATTCATAAGTCGAAAATAAACTGACAAAATGATGATGCCATGGCAAAAAACGAAAAAAGGAAGATAAGACAAACAACAGTACACAAAACACAATATAGAAAACGAAAGCCACCTAAAAACCCGGGGGTGATCTCAAGTGTTCTGGAAGAGTAAGCAGATCCTGTGGTACCCGTCGTGTTGCTCGTGCAAGTACAAACCCGGTGATCAGTTAACTCGGTAGGTCACATTCGATGTTAAGAGGACGGGATTGTGGTTACGACAGTTGGAACATGTCTGTCGTCATCTGTGAAACAGTTATCATAACGGTCACCCAAATCGTGATGGCGTCCGTAAACTTTTTGTAGGGATGATTCGAACTTCACCACTTGGAACTCTTGGAACTCTCGGTTCAATAGCTTCTTGGTATCCTAAAAGGAATTGCAAGCTCTAGAATATCGTATTAACTGGGAGAAATATACTCCATATGCAGGCGCTGCTGGAAAGATGCTACAAAGAAATGGAAAGTTCCTAATAGGAAAGCTGAAATCATCTCTTTTGTCTTTAAGTTTTGTTCTCAACCGACCCCCATTGTCGATTTCTAGATATAAGTCAAGATATGAGGCATATTTAACTGTATCTGTTGCATCCTTTATTTCAAGTTCGATGGGATAGATACGTTCAACATAGTCACAAAACGTCGAATTATTTAGTGAGAGGATATCAACTATATAGCAGAAAGTGACTGACTTATACATATCTTTAACTTCAGAAGTTAAAGAAATGTATAAAAAAATGCAGGAAATATGATAAAGAAACAGCATACTTAATAAAAAGTCATAAGAAATACGAATTAAGATACAACACAAGAATTTGACAAACTAAAACGAGATACGACAAAGTAAAAATATCACCAGAGCCGAAATTTCAAGAATTAACATCACTCGTTAGAGCAGCAAATAGCACGATGGAATAAATCTTACTTTCAAACTTTCGACCTTTTCAGTTTGAAAATTGGAATCGTAACCGTAGTATCATTGCTATATAAAATAACTAAAAATCGTAAAAAAGCAAGATTCAAAATAGAAATCAGGATACAAGAAGAGATTGATCATGATTTGTCTGCATAAAGGGAAACACCTTGCAGGTTGAATTTTCAGGTTAAATAACTTTTATCTTACCTGCTTTCTTAAGTTTTTGGACAAATTGTTTTAAAAACATGATTTCATCCTTTCCATTTCCATTTCCAGATTTCGTAAATAGTCAAATTTTAAGCATTTTTCCTTAGAGTTACACAACATACTTTGAAAAGCCATTTAATATCCGTCAAAGGAAGTTTTCAATTGCAGTTTTCAAAGACGCGTTAGTTTTAGATCCAATTAAGACGGGAAAAGACTGAATTATCCGCAAATTTGATATAGGTGTAATACCACCATTGATGTTCCTCTATTAGTCTTTGTTAAATTTGCACTTTTCAAAAAATTGTGCAGAATTTATCTTTGTTTCAAATAAAGAAATACTTGGCATGAGTTAAGTTTTATCCTATCCAGTACTATAGAAAAAATTTCACATAGCATTTCATTGCATATAAGAAAATAACCATCACTGGAAGTTAACCAATCAAATTTTCCCCTTTTATTAACCTGTGTACAAGCTTTAGTAACCATGTAACCTCAAATTTCCAAAATATTCTATAGAAACCCAAAATAAAAAAATAATGGTGCTTTTAAATACCCAAGATATATGTTTTTGACCCTGAAATGTTTTACTGTAATGAAATGTAGGACTAATTACCTACAACTGTCAAATTCAAGGGAATATTTTTTTTTTGACCTATTGGATGTGACGTACTATGATTTGGTGGTATTACACCTAAAATTCATATTTACAATCTACATCTATTGAAAGTAATTTTATCAAAAGGGTCAAAGTTACGTGGTACAAATCAAATAAGAATTTTGCCATTTATTTGCTCCGTGAAGAGTCTAGCGAAGAGGAATCCGAGCGAGCCTTGCAACCTGACCAAATCTCTTCTTCGCATCAGCACGTCTAAAGTATTGTCGAGCAGTGAGCCAGGATGATCCAGGATCGCAAGAAAGGTAGAAAAAAACTAAAAAAAAAAAAAAAACACGTTAGAAGAAAATGCAAAAATTTCTGGCCTTGAAAGTTCGGATTACCAACAAACTTGATAAATATATTATCTATATGCATACTAAACCCGCTGCATTTTTATGCACCTGTCCTTAGTCAGGAGCCTATTGTTCAGTGGTTGTCGTTTGTTGGTGTGGTTCATAGGTATTTCTCGTGTCTCGTTTTTAATATAGATTAGACAGTTGGTTTACCTGTTTGAATTCTTCTTCCGGTTAGCAGCCACCGTCAACTGATTGACTATTCTGCCACATTATGGAGTGAGCGCATGAATTTTTTGAAATTTAATAAACAAAAGAATGGGTGCAATTTAATATATATACAGGTGCAATTAAAAACATGTCATTTAAATTTAATGACGGAGCTGAGCCTTGAAAGATTCAGGACTCGGGGTGGAGACAGTAGAGTTGGGCAAGGTGCAACGGTTCCACTTTCTGATTGTTCTAGGATAGAATGACTCCTTCCGTACAGTTATTTTACAAGATCATAGGCGGATTCAGGGGGCCCGCCCCCCCCCCCCTTTCGTGGGATAAATTTGGTTGATTATATTGGGAATCACTGAAGCATGACTGGAGCCCCCCCCCCCCCCCCCCCCCCCTTTAGGTCAGTCAGCGCCCCTCCCCTTATGAAAAGTTCTGGATCCGCCACTGATGATGGTATTCTAAATGCCTTTTCGTTGTTATTTCTGGAAGGGCGTTCATTCGGTATTAGCTTACTGGGTGTATCGATTTTGACAAAGTTGTTCTGTAGCTTATACATCATTATTGAGCGGCAGTGTTTCCTTCGTTCTTGTAGGCTAGACCATTCAAGACGTTCAAGCATGCTACTAACAGATTAGGTGTTGTGATATCTGTTAGTAACATACCTTGCTTCCCTTCTTTGAAGCATGTCTAATCTGTGGATGTCGTTTTGTTGGTATGGGTCCCATACTGCACTAGCATATTCTAAGGTAGGCCTGACGAGGGACATATATGCTTTTTCTTTAATTGACTTGTTGGAGATGTTTACATTCCTTTTTAAGAAGCTGATGGTGTTGTTGGCTTTGTTTTACACAAGTCATTTTGGGGCCCTTTAACGCATTGCTCTTCAGTGTGAGCCAAGGCTCCGTGTAAAAACTGTTGATGGCCATACTTTGACCTATAATAGTTATAACTTTTTATACATTGTGACTTGGATTAACTCGAATAATTCAGCGCCTTCTATCCACTACTTTTCTCGAGGAAATCAGTGGCGGATCCAGAACTTTTCATAAGGGGGGCCCGCTGACTGACCTAAAGGGGGGGGGGGGGCCCGCTCCAGTCATGCTTCAGTGATTCCCTATATAATCAACCAAATTTTTCCCACGAAAGGGGGGCCCGGGCCCCCCAGACCCCCCCCCCCTGGATCCGCCTATGGAAATGGAGTGATCGTAGTGATCGTTATATAACGACTGGATTATTCAGGTTAGACTTGGATGGAGAGTTCGTACCACATCTTCTTACTAGTATTTATATTAAAAGTTTGCATTGCAATCTCTCGCGGGAAATTCAGACTCTTCTTTGATGAAGTTATAAAAACAGATCAAACTTTACCTGTACAAACGGAAAAAGTCATCTTTGACAGAAATTGAAACTTTGAATGATTTAAACCCTTTTCAGTATAAGTCATGATGTAAACTTTGAGATCGTCCCTAAAATCAATAATGAAGTGCCTCAGGTGAAACTTTCAATTATAACTTCAGTATTCACGCGGAAATGGCGAATGCAAGTTCGTTTACAAAATACAGAAGTTGGAGTACTGTGTCGGAGGATCCCAATGATGTAGGGAGAATTTATACACCCGAAACTCCAGCCCAAAAGAAACTTAAAAGAACTTTCAGCACATGGGCATTTTCTTTGGTTATTTTGAGCTTAAGTGTTATGTTTTTAGTCGGATTAATGGTTGGATATTTTTTGAAAGAATCTCATGAAGATGAAAGCAGTTTTGGAAAAAGAAGGGATAAAATTGACTCTCACATGCTTCATTCTGTACATGAAAACATCATGTATTTTATTTCAAATGACAATGTTCGAAAAATATCAAGGTAAGTTTGAAAAAAAGAGTTTTTGTATAACTGATAAAATATAAATCACAACCTGTTTGCATTTTTATCAGTTATACAAAATGCAAATCACAACAGGTTTGGCACAACCCCTTAAACAATAATCCTATCCCAAATTAGTGACTTAATACATTGTATGACTTGTATATTTTGATACTTTGAGCTTAAGTAATTTAAATATATATTATGGACCTAGGCCACCTTCAAATTTGAGATGCATGTTATTATTTAAATTTGAAACAGGTTGGAGGCAACCCACCAAAATTTGAACAGTTCCCCAAATTATGATTTTTTTCTAGTGAAATTATTTTTTTTAATCCACATTTTATATACTTGAAATGGAACATAGTCAAGAAAAATGCAGAAACTTTTCTAATTGATGATTATATATAGCCGTATGTAACTGTGTGTAATGATTTACTGAGAAGATACAAGTTGAAGAAAAGTTTGAAAAAAATTTCAATTTTAAAGGCAACTAAACTGATTAAAAAATCAAAATAGAAAAACCTGAGAGCCTAAAAAACTTTTTTTATCCAATAATGTATTTGTGATGATATGTGAAAAGTGTCTTGTATCATATATACCAGATATATTCACAGATACATGTACATTTATCTTACAATGTAATTGAAAGATAGATTTTGATATTGTATATCATCATACAAATATTCATGGTTATTTTTTTAGTATGTTTAATTTGCTACAAGTCTTAAAATACTAAAAATTTCAAGATCCATTATACAGAATCTGGCCTAAATAAATCTATAGCATAATCAGACTTTGAAAGTCTGAAAATTTTATTACATCTTTGTAAAAATGCATAATCTGACTTGCTTGTTTCTTCCTAGATTCTGACTTGTATATTGTCTGTCTTGTCAGAGCTCTGACTTTAACATACAATGTATACAGCATGTACATTTGTACAGTAAAATTGCTAAATGGATTTTAACTGTCAAAATTTTAGAACTTTAAACAATCCTTACATGTCTCAGATTACATGATAATATTTTAATTGTTTAAATATTAGTTATTACACTTGTCAATTTTCAAGAGAAATAATCAATCCTAATTCTGAATAGGATTTATGATTTCTTTCATGTGTCAGTATATATAAACTGTCTTCTAAATCAGTGAATAGTGAAACTTATTTTTATTGAGAAATAGATATATAACAACAATGTGTGAAATGAAGGCAATCGGTATGAATTAGAAAATTATTATCTCATACCATTCACAAAAGGAATGGCTCATGTTTACATGTGTTTACTTCAGCAGAACAAATTATATTCAACTAGATAATGAACAGAATAAACTGAATTATCTCCTCTACTGGAATTTAAGTTTTAAGTTGTGATAAAAGAACTATTGTGCAACTTTCTACTATTTGAGAATCACTTGTGTTATTAGAAATTATAAGAAAATATTTATTAAGTGATAACATGAGACACTTCAAATCTTAGACAACATTGTAAGCCTTCGACTGAGATTTTAAGGGTGGATTTAGAAATTCTTTTGACTTGATAAATAAGAGGTTTATGTTGTCTTCTCAAATTCATGACTATTTCGTAAATTTGTTGAATAAAATATTTATCAAGTACATGTACTCTTAAAAGGGATCATACAAAACTTTGAATTGAGTAAAAAAACCTTGATTAATATCATGAAATTGAACAATAGGTGGATAACCCTGAGAACATGTTGTTCAGTTAGGAAATACCATACATGTAGTTACAATGAACATGTTTTATCAATCATTTATTATTAATTAATTTTGATTTTTTCAAAAATATCTTCCAAGACATTTTAAGAGTTCTCAGGGCTGCACTGTTATTAGAGCAAATATTGAAAAAATATTTTTATTAAAATTTATATATGTAGTAAATTTTAATTTATCATATTGTACTCTAAATTATATTATTTACAGAAAATTTACACACTAGCAACTTAATTTATGCAAAATGAAATAATTAAGAATAAGACAAACATTATAAATACAATGTACATCCATCAGTAAAAAATACTTAGCATGCTTAGAAATATAAGTTCAGGGTTTACATGTAGGAAAAGTTTTATACATATTAACATATACATAAATTTCCTAACAATGTAATTTTAACACACTATTAAGTACAATGTATGTAAATATTAGAATGTTTAAAATTTACAATGCGATAAAAAATAAACGCAATATTACACTAGACAAACTAGCTTCATCAAGCGTTTTAACATATACATATATATAGTCTACAGGGTACAAATTGAATGGAATTAACTGAATTATCTCCTCTACTGGAATTTAAGTTTTAAGTTGTGATAAAAGAACTATTGTGTAACTTTCTACTATTTGAGAATCAAGATAAGAGATAACATGGGTACAAATTGCATTTAAAAAAGTAAAGCAAAAAATGAAAGTTTTTGAAAGCAGACACAAAGATATCTTTGACTGGTACAATGTACTACAGGTACAATGTATATTGACCATCAAACCACAGAAAATAAGATTAATTATTTTAAGAGGTTTACCAGTGGTGCTTCCTTTGATCTAGGTTAGACCTTGGGATCTATACTGTTACTTCCTTTCACCAAGTTTCATAGGTGAAGATTTTAAAATTCATAAAGTCATTCATGACTTGTAAATTTATTCATACAAATGTCCTCTCTTCATGCTGAGAGTTATTCGCAACTGTGTATAAAATAAGATTAAAGATGTAGCGACCATGTAAGGGTCAGTAGATCATCACTTTTCAATTGAAATGGACAGCTGTTTCTATGTTATTGATAGGGGATAAATTGGAAAGAGTTTTAGGCTACTTCCTAGCACCTTCAATAGTGAAATGAGTTTAGAGGATTAAAGTGAAAAAAATCAGGACAAAACCTTGATATGAAGTCAATTGTTGTCTTGCTGGCCTTGTTCAGAGTAACATTGACATGATTAAATACAAGCAAGTTTTCACTGCAAGACAGCATTCATGACAATAGTTATGGAAATTTCTATTAAAAACACAACCAATTTTCTTGTTTATACTTTAACCATTTTCTAAAATACCTTGTAATTTGTATTAAAAAAAACAACAATTTATTATGTGCACTGTGAAAATGACTTTAATGTGATGAAACAGTATCCTGTTAAGTCCTTTTCAATGATAAAAGTTCTAACAATTTAAAAGATAATTTATAGAAAGCTGTGTTCCTCTAATTTATGTGGACCATTTACCACACATAATGCCATTGAGATCACATTTTGTTAAGACAGAGTCTTCATTTAAATCTCACTTTGATCACTAAAAAGTTGTAAAAACCAGTTTATTATGGGTTATAATTGTTCACAGTTAAGAACAGTTATCATGGTTATAATTAACTTGTCTAAAAACTGATTTACATATAGAGCTACACAAGAGATGTCTCCCTTAAAACGATTAACAACTAATAGCTGATGTACTGAATGCTTTTGTAAATTATTATCTTATTAGGTATTTAAGTTACTCCTTTTCAAATCATAATAAGGTCTCTGTTAAAATTCTTACCACCCAGTTTTGGTGAGGTAAAGCAAAATTCTTCAATCCATTAAAATCAATTTGGCATTTTTTAAAGTTTTATATATCAAATGCAAGATTCAGTTTGAAGTCCTAATTAAATGCAAATCTGAAAAAAATTTGCAGTGACAGATTCAGGGGGATGGAGGGGTTGCAACCCCCCCTTTTTTTGACGATCAATGCTTTTGAATGGGGACTTATGGTTGGGACCGCCCCTTTATCCTGGGTTGGGAACACCTCCTTTTAAAAATGACTGGATCCTCCCCTGCTTTGTTTTGTGTAATTTGGTTTAGTTGTACATGTACCCTACACTTTATGGAACTGAGGATACATGTACATTTACCTGTTATTTGTTATCAACTTTCAACAGTTTTCATCAGTGGAAACTTTACAGAATTTGGACATTTTTATTATAAAAGTTTGAGCTATCTTTTCTGAATTTAGAAACTTTGTCATATCTCATCAAAATGCTTAATAAATAGAACCTACATACACATTTGTTATTTGAATATCAATCTACTTCTACAATCTGTTGTTTTAACTGTTCATACTATTTATCTACTAGTATACCTTTTAATTCGTTATAAATACTTTGTCAAATTATTGACTATCAATTTCATTTAGAGTAAATGTTATTTAATTAAGATATATGAACCATGGTCTAATAGGATTAGGAAAAGAATGTTAAAACTTGACTTGATTTAACAATGTTTAAATAATACACTTTCTTCTTTGAGATCACCCCTTTCAAAGTTTATTCAAAGGATTAAAAGGTACCTTCTGTCGTTTTATGTATGTAAAACACCCACAGGACAAATATGTTATATTTACTCTGTAATGATCCCCGTCATATTTGAATTGCTTTATTACTTGCATTTTTTTTAGTTACATGGATTTTCAAAAACAAACTATTTCTTCTTTGTGTTAAAATTGTAGGTTAAGAAATGATCGCTTATCATATTGGACAGTGACAACAATAATTTTACAAATTATCTGTATAGGATTTAATAACTGGGTTGGTGTATCTCATGCTTTGAGATAGTTTTTCTCTATACATTAATATTTCTTAACAAATAATTGTTTGATCTTTTCAAATTATAAATTGAACCATATAAGAATATTATAAAAGTTTGCCTTGGTGAGAAATTATAATGATATTGACTTGAGTTGATTTAAAATAAAATTATCAATTTTGTATGGTTTGAATTTAAAAATAAATCATGTATATATATTGATAAAATACAAACTTTGTTTTCATTTTGAATCACATAAATCGAATTCTGTTTTTTTTATACAAAGTTTTTTTTATAAAATTTAATTGTAAAGAATTAGAAAATAATTTGTAAGTTTATCAAGTTTGACATAAATTGCCTGTCAAAATTTTAATCATTAATTTTTTTTTTAAATCAAAATCCCATTCTAATACTACAACAATTAAATATTTGTATGATAATGTAACTTGCACCAGTTTCAATAAATTTAATCTTTAAGATACTGTTTCTTTACAAATCTTTTATTCATCAAGCAATTTTCTTGAATTTATTTGGTATACAGAAAATACCATGTACATGGTATTGTGGTGTTGATATATCTGCTATGATCTGAGTGCATTGACTAATTTGTAGTCTATTTTTGTTGTGAAGAAGAGTGTCATTCTGTCTTAATTTGTTAAGATACCTTTCTGTTTAAATACATAAAGCTAGGATAGAACTGAAAATTGAAATTTTCAGCACTTTAAATCAAAATTCATTATTTTGAAGAAGGGAGCTCAATGATGATAATTTTGGAATATATTTGTCAATAACTTTGAAAAATAATGTTATGGTGGAATGGATGTTTAGAAGACTACTAGCCAGCAGGTTTTGAGAATCCAGCAAACCAAGAAGAGAAGGACTTGATTGATTGATTGTCGGTGTTAAACACCACTTACAGCATTCTTGATAATATTGTAATGGCTAGTTTTATTGGTAGAGGCAGCCGAAGTACTCAGAGAGAACCACTGACCTTCGGTAGGAAAACTGGGAAATGTTTTGATGATTTTACATTGTATTTAACGTCCAGCGGCTAATTAAATGCATATTCAGAACAATAACATGTTAATGTTATATGAATATTAACCCTGCTTTGTACTAGACCGAGACGCTGAGCCAGATTTTTAACCTGCTAGTTCACAAGGTAACAGTCCACAGGAAGACATTTCACCCTACCCTATAAATATATGTTAATTTTGCAGAGCAGAACCCTTGCAAGAAAACAGTGAACATGGTGAATTGCAGGTATGGTTTATTACATATAGGTAATGATTTAATTGTGTTCATTGATGAAACAAACACAATCTTCAAAGGAAGTTAATGCAGGTGATATTATTCAAAAACCTGCCCCCCATAAACCTGACCCCCCTGAACCTGACCCCCCTGAACTTGACCCCCCTAAAACTACCGATGAAATATCATACAGATGTCATTCTTTGCCAAAGTATATTAAAGCTGTTTTTATTCACTATTACAGAGATTTGAAGTTATTGAAAGATGTAAGACAAACAGAATATGTGAAGAAAGAATTACAGACCTATGGATTGGACCGTGTAGAAGTCCAGGAATATGATGTAGTGGTGACCTATCCTGATCCAGCCAGACCAAATCAACTAGTAGTCATTAACTCCTCAGGACGGGTGTTGAAGAATGTAACACTGGGTAAATCCAAGGTGACCAACAAAGTAGAAGAAATTATTAAGGATGGGAGAGGAGATGTAACAAGGCTGTCACCAAATGAAGTTGAGGTATGAGAGAAAAACATATATAGATCTACAATATAGGATGGGGTATGAGAGAAAAACATATATAGGTCTACTGTATAGGATGGGGTATGAGAGAAAAACATATATAGATCTACAATATAGGATGGGGTATGAGAGAAAAACATATATAGATCTACAATATAGGATGGGGTATGAGAGAAAAACATATATAGGTCTACTGTATAGGATGGGGTATGAGAGAAAAACATATATAGATCTACAATATATAGGATGGGGTATGAGAGAAAAACATATATAGATCTACAATATAGGATGGGGTATGAGAGAAAAACATATATAGGTCTACTGTATAGGATGGGGTATGAGAGAAAAACATATACCGGGTATAGGTCTACTGTATAGGATGGGGTATGAGAGAAAAACATATATAGATCTACAATATAGGATGGGGTATGAGAGAAAAACATATATAGATCTACAATATAGGATGGGGTATGAGAGAAAAACATATATAGGTCTACTGTATAGGATGGGGTATGAGAGAAAAACATATATAGGTCTACTATATAGGATGAGGTATAAGAGATATAAACATATATAGGTCTACTGTATAGGATGGGGTATGAGAGAAAAACATATAAAGGTCTACTATATAGGATGAGGTATAAGAGATATAAACATATATAGGTTTACTGTATAGGATGGGGTATGGGAGAAAAACATATATAGGTCTACTATATAGGATGAGGTATAAGAGATATAAACATATATAGGTCTACTGTATAGGATGGGGTATGAGAGAAAAACATATAAAGGTCTACTATATAGGATGAGGTATAAGAGATATAAACATATATAGGTCTACTGTATAGGATGGGGTATAAGAGATATAAACATATATAGATCTACAATATAGGATGGGGTATGAGAGAAAAACATATATAGGTCTACTGTATAGGATGGGGTATGAGAGAAAAACATATATAGGTCTACTGTATAGGATGGGGTATGAGAGAAAAACATATATAGGTCTACTATATAGGATGAGGTATAAGAGATATAAACATATATAGGTCTACTGTATAGGATGGGGTATGAGAGAAAAACATATAAAGGTCTACTATATAGGATGAGGTATAAGAGATATAAACATATATAGGTCTACTGTATAGGATGGGGTATGAGAGAAAAACATATATAGGTCTACTATATAGGATGAGGTATAAGAGATATAAACATATATGGGTCTACTGTATAGGATGGGGTATGAGAGAAAAACATATAAAGGTCTACTATATAGGATGAGGTATAAGAGAAATAAACATATATAGGTCTACTGTATAGGATGGGGTATAAGAGATATCAACATATATAGGTCTACTGTATAGGATGGGGTATGAGAGAAAAACATATAAAGGTCTACTATATAGGATGAGGTATAAGAGATATAAACATATATAGGTCTACTGTATAGGATGGGGTATAAGAGATATAAACATATATAGATCTACAATATAGGATGGGGTATGAGAGAAAAACATATATAGGTCTACTGTATAGGATGGGGTATGAGAGAAAAAAATATATAGGTTGACTGTATAGGATGGGGTATGAGAGAAAAACATATATAGATCTACAATATAGGATGGGGTATGAGAGAAAAACATATATAGGTTTACTGTATAGGATGGGGTATGAGAGAAAAACATATATAGGTCTACTGTATAGGATGGGGTATGAGAGAAAAACATATATAGGTCTACTATATAGGATGAGGTATAAGAGATATAAACATATATAGGTCTACTGAATAGGATTGGGTATGAGAGAAAAACATATAAAGGTCTACTATATAGGATGAGGTATAAGAGATATAAACACATATAGGTCTACTGTATAGGATGGGGTATGAGAGAAAAAAATATATAGGTCTACTATATAGGATGGGGTATGAGAGAAAAACATATAAAGGTCTACTATATATGATGAGCTATGAGAGAGAAAAAAAACATATATAGGTCTCCTATATATAGGATGGGCTATTATAGAGAGGTGATATAATTTTGGTGTCACCATGAAAAATTATAAACAGACACTTGCAGTTTAACTTTTTATTTGTTGTCTGGTTAATCCTGTTTTTGTTGGTTGGATATTATGGTCTGCAACCTTTAGCAGATGTTCACACAAGCCATTGTTAGGAAGCTAGGTACAAACAGCCCAGTGAAATAGTTTATAATGAAAAAGTCTTGACCGATGGTTGTATACATACATGTTCCATGCATAAGTCATGATTTTCAAAATATTAGTCCACAGACTTGTCATCAACATATACAAACTTTCTTATAAATGTACAATATAGCTTGATTTCCAGCAGCTATAGTAAATCCTACATTTTCAGACAGTGTAGAAAGAATTTTATACTGGTTTGTTTTGGTTAAAAGAAATACCTTAGGCAATAAACATTCAATTAATTTACAACACAGAATAAGTTAATTTGATAAACAAATAATGATTATTTCACAACTGTCCTGTCCATTTATTTCAATTATCTCAGGTACTTAAAATTAAGAGAAAGTGCTCTCTTACCATGTTTACATGTAAAAGTTATTATACATTAATTCACATACAGGTGGTAATTGATTTTTTACTCCCATTCTATTGTAGCTGTAATTAACCTGTAGAACGCCTGAGGTAGATAAAAACCTTTGATCCTACAGGTGTTCAGGAGGTAGGCTAAACTGCTGTCATGATAAAGATATTATCAATATGGTCAGGTTTGGGTCAACCTAAAGTGGACAAATGTTAATCTCTAATGAACTGTAAATTAATTTAGTGAATGACTTAAAATTTCAAATTTTTTACTAAAATGGATTAGTAGAGGTTGATGAGGCCAAATAGAATTAATTTTATTATACATCCTCTCTTTTTGCGTTATTTTTTGCACACTGCAAATGAATTTGTGAAAGTATTAGAATAAAAAAATATGGATTGTCTGCATCCTCATATAAATTTTTGAAAAAATATTTTTTGAATATGAAAATACTTAAGTTTTTCCAAATCGATTTATTAAGATTAAAAACTTCTGTGGTACAAAAAATAATCATTTAACTGTGCCTTAATTGGTACTTTAATGCTAATCTGTGGGGAGATAAATAAGTTAACCTGTTGTACTGTAGCTGTAAAAGCTATTTATTTACTATAATAAGGAAAAGTATACAGATTATTACACTATCGTAATATGTCAATGATTGACATAATACTGTAATGTACTGATAGGCTCTATACTAACATACTTGTTACTCCTGCTGACTCAAAGATTGACATATCACTTCTGTGATCTGACACACTCATTACGTCTGATGACTCAAAGATTGATATAATACTGCAATGTACTGACAACCTCATTACTCCTGCTGACTGAAAGATTGACATGATTCTTCAAAGTTGTGACATACTCATTACTCCTACTGAATAAAAGGTTGACATAGTATTTCAGTATAATGACATACTGGTTACTCCTGCTGAATCAAAGATAGACATTGTTCTGAAATGTACTGACAATCTCATTACTCCTGCTGACTGAAAGATTTACATAAGACTGCAATATATTGACAGATTTTTTCACTCCTGATTAATCAAATATTGACATGGAAAGCAATGAATTACATACTCATTACAGCTGTTTACTCAAATATTGACATAGAACTTCAGTGTACTGACATACTTGTTACACCTGTTTACTCAAAGATTGACATAGAACTTCAGTGTACTGACATACTTGTTACACCTGTTTACTCAAAGATTGACATAGAACTTCAGTATACTGACATACTTGTTACACCTGTTTACTCAAAGATTGACATAGAACTTCAGTATACTGACATACTTGTTACACCTGTTTACTTAAAGATTGACAGAGGAGTAATTAGTCTATCAATACATCTCATTATGTATAACGAACATGACTTCAAATATTTTTTATTAGAGAAAAACTTGAGAATTCTTCAATATATTATGGCTGAAAAACTTTAAATTACTGTTGATTAATTCAAATTTTCGTGGGTACCAATTTTTGGGTATTAAGGAAAACTTGCATGTTCGTGGATATTTAATTTCGTGGTTTTACCGAAGTCTGCATACAAGCCTATAGAAAATTTGTTTTTTCGTTGAACATTTAATTTCGTATTCACCTGTACCCTCGAAATCCACGAAAATTGGTATCCAACAAAAAATAATAAATCCACAGTAGTATAAAAGTTCCCTGGCAAAGATGAAAGCAGCAAACCTTCATCTTTGTTGGTTTAAAAGAATTCTTTATCCTTTAGCTTTCAATAAAATAGAGAATGGAGATGGGGAATGTGTCAAAGAGACAGCAACCCGACCAAAGTTTATTTGCAGGAGACTTGCATTCAAGTTTATTTTCAGGAGACTTGGGTGTGAACATTTCTAATATATAATGGTGCTTATTCTCATTGAAAAATGTAAAGTACTGTGCTTTTATCTTATAGATTTGTTTGCTGAATAGGATTTATAAAAATAATTTCAAGAGGACTTCCTTTCTTTCTCCCCTCCGTCACTAATGAAGAGAATTGTAATTTAGACAAAAAGACATATTAAAAAATATACATGTTGAAAGTAATGGGACAGTAAGGAAGATCTCTTCTGTATATCAGTTGACTTCTAGGGACCCTTTTTTATTAGAACAACATATGTAAATTATGACATGCTGTTGTGTTGTGAAATAGACATATGCTATCCCATGGTCATATTTCATTGTACAGAAATTTGATATTGTATTGAAATACAAATCATTATCTACAAAATTGTTTGAATTAGATTTGAAATGAATTCTGTTTAAATGGTCTGATTTATGACAAAGTGTCTTGACAATGAAGAGACAATATTTTTGTACATGATTATGCTTGAAAAGATAATTTGAGGTGTTAATTTGTTTTTAATTTGTTAAATTCCACAATGATTAACAACTTAAATATTTTAAGATTCTAAAGTTTATTTTGTTAAAAAAAATACATACAGCATTGTTTGAAAGAATGCTTTGTCATCATATATACCCATTTTTAAGACTAAGGTATGGTCAGATCATATGTTTTCGTACGATATATGAAATGTACAATGTATGCTTTTTCAATGGAAATTGTGACATCATGATCACAATGCATTCTTAATACAGTGTAGCACGAAAACCCTTAATACAAGGATAATTGTAGATTTTTTGCAAACAAAGCTGTTACAGCTTTTATAAACAAGGATTCCTGTAATACCTGTAAGAAAAGGTTTTGTTAAAAATCAAACAAATAATAAAACTTAGTTTAATTTAGATATATAGGTTAAACAATAAGATTTAACGGCAGCTATAACTGCTTTTCGTACTTGGGTCTGTTATATATACATTATAACCCCAAGCTTTCAGTATGTTCAATAAAGGATGTGTTACTAAGTAAAAGTTGTGTTTGTATATTCAGTTGCATATACTTGGAATGTTCATCTGTTCAAATTTTGTATCTGCAACTTCTCAGTAACTGGGTTTCATTGAAACTGTCAGAATACCTGTGCTTGAAGAGCCAAATGATATTATATACTTCCTATATATCCTAAGGCTAAACAAGTTATTTTATACCATTTGAATGATTGGGTTGAACCTACTTAAAGCACAATCTTGAGTATCATGCTAATAATTGGACCTCATCATATGTCTGTTCCGGTCAGTAATGAAATAAATAACTTCATGGTCAATTGAAAAGCATTACCAGAGGGTCACTGTTTAAAAGAATATAACAGAATTTTTTCCAGGAAAATCATGCATACAGAAGCTTAACTGGACATGCTCTCACATTATCGTATAGGGTCTTAGTTCTGTAAAGACCTTGGTTATAAAAAAGAAGAAATTAGTCTTTGCCTTTTTTAACACTCACAAATTTTGAAATCACAAGAACCTTCTTAGAAAAATGAATTGGGTGAGTTTTCACGTGAGTTTATTTGCAATGATTATTGACAGAAGAATTGTGTGATGACATGCACATTTAACACCTTTATCAAAGGAAGGATAATGTACTTTCCATTAATATAATAGATTGATTACATAGACATATATAATGTCAGGTAAACATCTAGTTCTATACTTCAGTTACCTGGTGAAATAAAAATCTTACAAGGTCTGACATCCAAATGTCAAGTATATTATGAAGAAATCAAACTAAGTGATGTGGGGGACCTACAACTTCATAAAAATGCATCGATTTTCATGTTTCACAGTAGTAGACCATGGTTGACTTCATATACCTTATCTGTTGTGTATGGGAGACCATAAAAGTTCTTATCTTTTTTATTTTTACAAGTTGCATTCCAGGCAGCTTATATATATATTTTCCAGAGGCATAATTTATGACTCCGCGACTGTCATAAATATTACATATATTTTTGTAGCCAATGATATTAGCTTCTATACATATCATAGTCTAATGCTAAAAAGATATTCTTTTTTTTTGGTTCTTATGGTTCTCAGATCTTGGATAGTTTCTATTGAACTTATTCATAAGACTTGACATATTGTATAGACACTTTGTTTAAGACTGTGTGTTGACCTCTACATATCGTTTGGTTATTTGTGACATCAGGTTCATGTTTCTTTGATATATACCCCACATCTCATTAAAACACATCTCATGTACTGTAACATAATATGCCCTCACAGAAACTGACAGGGTAATGTAACAGACCTTTTCAGGGTAAATATGAAAGAAAGTGCTAATAAAAGCATTTTTTTCAAAAAATATTTTCCTGTTAAGTTTAATTATTTTCACAGTTGAATTCCTCTTATGGAATAGTGATAAATATATATTCCTTTTATTTATACCCCCTGTAAGGTAAGTGCCACACACTCTGCATGTGAAAGAAACCCTTGTAACAATATTCCTTTTCTTTATATCCCCTGCAAGGTAAGTGCCACACTCTGCATGTGAAAGAAACCCTTGTAACAATATTCCTTTTTTTTATATCCCCTGCAAGGTAAGTGCCACACACTGCATGTGAAAGAAACCTTTTGTAACAATATTCCTTTTCTTTACACCCCCTGTAAGGTAAGTGCCACTCTCTGCATGTGAAAGTAACCCTTGTAACAATATTCCTTTTCTTAAAACCCCCCGTAAGGAAAGTGCCACACACTCTGTATGTGAAAGAAACCCTTGTAACAATATTCCTTTCCTTTATATCCCCTGTAAGGTAAGTGCCACACTCTCTGTATGTGAAAGAAACCCTTGTAACAATATTCCATTTCTTTATATCCCCTGCAAGGTAAGTGCCACACTCTGTATGTGAAAGAAACCCTTGTAACAATATTCCTTTTCTTTATACCCCCTGTAAGGTAAGTGCCACACTCTCTGCATGTGAAAGAAACCCTTGTAACAATATTCCTTTTCTTTATATCCCCTGTAAGGTAAGTGCCACACTCTCTGCATGTGAAAGAAACCCTTGTAACAAAACTCTGAGTGGGATATTGCAAGGACAAGTTTCTACCCCCTTTCTAATATCCTTTATTTTCTGGTGCAGTCCAATTTCCTGCCCTTCATATAAGTTGACCTACCTTGCAAAACATACATATTGTAATGATATTTTATTTGTTCTCCCATTGAATATGCATGAAATATTATAAGGTACATTAGGCAAGCTACAACAATCAATCTATCCTTTTCTGTACTATGGTTCATACAAATGCCATTTACTTGTAGATTTGAAAAGACTAAATAAAAATTTAACAAATTATGGAGGGTAAATTTAGGCATGAGGTTTTTGGCATCAGGGCATGCATTAACAATATTGTTCTTAAGTTTGTTTTTTAATTTTTCAACTTCCAGGGAGAACTAGTATATGGTGATTATGGTAGAAATATGGACTTAGTTAAGAAGAATCGATCTATGTCTCTCCAGGGCAAGGTGTTGATGATCCGACAAGGAGAAGTATCCATAAAGGAGAAGGTATGTATCATTGCATACTAATTGGCTAATTAGCCATGCAACTTTCATTATGAAAATAAGAAGATGCGGTATGATTGCCAATGAGACAACTCTCCACAAGAGACCAAATGACAGAAAGTCACAACCATAGGTCACTGTACGGCCTTCAACAATGAGCGAAGCTCATACCACATAGTCAGCTATAAAAGGCCCCGAAATGACAAATGTAAAACAATGCAAAAGAGAAAACTAACGGCCTGACATTATTTTAACCTTTTGTCTTGTAGGTTACCCACAATAAAGTTATTATTAGCTAGCATGGCTAGTTTTGTAATAGTTACATCTCTTTGAAATATAAAGGATACCAAGAATAGATTATGCTTTCAGTAATCAAAATAATCAACACTTTATGAATTAATTAAAACTAAAACACAAGTGAACCAACGCCTGGTAAATCTTCTGTCAGTAGATTCCATAAAGTGGATACCTCGGGTATGCAGGGTCGTTACTGGACCTTCTACACTTTATGTATTAAGTCAAAGTCATTTGAACTTATTATATTTTTGTCAGTTTTGGTCACCTGATCATTTTAGAATTTTGGGTAATTTTGATTTTTACCATTGATCAAATTGTTTTCCATTCCCCAGTTATAAATGCCATTATAATATATTATATATAAGTTTAGATTTGGAGAAAGAATTCTGTTTACACAAAATGTGCAACACCAAATTTTTTTGGAACAAATCTTTGAAAAACAAAACAAAATAGCAGGAACTATCAAATACTGGTAACCACATCAAACTTCAAACTGCATGAACCACCAAATACTGGTAACCACATCAAACTTCAAACTGCATGAACCACCAAATACTGGTAACCACATCAAACTTCAAACTGCATGAACCACCAAATACTGGTAACCACATCAAACTTCAAACTGCATGAACCACCAAATACTGGTAACCACATCAAACTTCAAACTGCATGAACAACCAAATACTGGTAACCACATCAAACTTCAACTGCATGAACCACCAAATACTGGTAACCACATCAAACTTCAAACTGCATGAACCACCAAATACTGGTAACCACATCAAACTTCAAACTGCATGAACCACCAAATACTGGTAACCACATCAAACTTCAAACTGCATGAACCACCAAATACTGGTAACCACATCAAACTTCAAACTGCATGAACCATCAAATACTGGTAACCACATCAAACTTCAAACTGCATGAACTACTAACAACTCATTTGTTTCAAAATGAAAAGAATATAGAGAAAAATAGACTAACTTTGTGTAGAAACAAAATGAATTAGGTTTAAATCTACGTTTGTGGGTTTTAGTATGAAGAATTATGCCATACCAATGATCCTAAATAAGATTTTAATCCTTGGGTTGTTGACTTGTTTTCATAATACCATTAAATCCAATTTTGAACCTGACAAAGCAATCATATGTCATTGATACATGTTTTGAAAACCAGATTTTATTTTAAACAAATACTAGATCGTTATTTAATGCTTGAAACTACAGATATTATTTCAAATTTTACAAGTACCCTGAGGAGAACAAAATGACACAAGTTTTGTGAAACATTTTCCCTGTTGTGTTTAGCTATAGCCCTTTTTAAAAAGAATTTTATATCGAAATCGCTTTTCAACTGATTTTATAGTTTTTTTCTTATGTTGTGCTATAACACCACTGTCCCAGGTTAGGGGAGGTTTGAGCGCTCACAAACATGTTTAACCCCACCACATTCTTTACCCAAGTCAGGAGCCTGTAGTTCAGTAGTTGTCGTTGGTTTATGTCTATCATATTTACTTTTTGTAAATTGTTTTGTTATAATTTAAGTCGTTAGTTTTCTCAATTGAATTGTTTCATATTCATTGTTGAAGGCTGTACGGTTGCCTATAATTGTGCTCATCCACTTCATTTGAACTTTGATGGATAGTTGTCTCATTGGCAATCATATATACCACAGCTCCTAAGTTTTATATTATGTACATTTACATGAAGCTCATGCTCCACTCCAGTAGTGTTGGTATAAAAATAAATTTCCTCGTTTCAGAATGTAATGCATTCTTGGTAATGATTTTAAAAGTATACACTCAGAAGTTATGATTAGTTATTAATATCTTTTTATTATAAGTATTGGTTGACAGGTACTTCATTTCTTCATGGTTAAAAATTTGAGCATGCAATGTTTCTAATTTGTTGAATGTTTTTGGAAATAAATTAAGCAAATTAAAATAAATCCTTTATTCTTCACTATAACAGAATGACTCAATGTTTTGAGTGACAACTAGTTTGATAAGTAAATAAAACCCTATGGAATTTTCTCAAGGATCTTCTATCAGACCATAAAATTTATTGAATTTAAGTTTATTATGACTCTATTCTTAAGCATCCTTGTTGAGTCGACTTCATTTTTCACACTTTTTAAACACAATTTTATAGGTTTGTTTTGTATTTGCAGACCACGCCAAATATGCTCAACTATTTAAAAAGAATTTGACGTTCAATATAAAAGTATCTCCCTACTTTTTACAATACAGATTTATTGTCAGACTACTCTTTATGGCAATGATAACCATAATCCTGTATTATTTACCGTAACAGAGGAAAGTAAACATGGATATTTACATTGTACGGTAATATAAGTCTTATTTCTGACGTCAAGCGATAGTAATATTTATGTTGGATTTTCAAGGGAATTCAAACTCAGTAGACAAGTTTTTGGTGGTGTATCATGTTTTGCCAATTGGTATAAATTTAGATGAAAAAAGTATATAAATAACAAAAGTGAGAAAAAATAGAAAAAGTATTGTGTAATTCATTAACAAAACATTGTACTTTTAGAAAGTAAATACATTAGCATAATTAGTGAGAAATGATAACCAAGATAGATATTTCACAGTGCAAATGCTTTTTTTGTTTTTTTTTCGTTAATTAAAAACACAATTTAATTCTATCTTACGTTTGACTGCAGTTATAAAAGAGTATAGTTTTATACCAGTGATGAGAACACTTGAAAACTGACAAAACCAAAACATTTGCAGAATCTAATTCCAAAATGATAGCTGAAAAATTTTAAATTATAAATTTGTATACACCCATTCATATTTGCATGGACTTCCCATTATTTGATTTTAAAAAATTACTAAGCATTCAAGCAGTCACCTTTTACAGAAAAATGATTAGAATATTAAAAGTGTCAGTAGTTATTAAAAAGATTCAGATGCACTTGTGTCTGTTGCTAACTATATTGTGAATTAATGCCTTCTCACATAATTTCATAGAATAAATCTTAGCAGTGGTTTCAATCTATTGCATCTGAAATGTCTTTTAAAATTTTTATATATAAGTTGTCAATTTAATGATATTTTCTTTAGTATTGAATTCATGTAACATCGCAGATTTTTACTTAAAACTTAGCTGAAAAAAGTGTGCTTTAATTTTTTGAGCTCATTGAGAACTGAAAAATAAGTATTGTATAGATTTGTACTTTACAAGTGTCTTTTTGGTGTTTCATTGACACTTTGATTATTGTTAGAAGTGCTTTTGAATTTAAATTGGATTACATATTTTGGGGTTTTTATTTTTTCAAAGATACTCATGTACTTCTATGTTAAAATTGAATTATATATTTATTCTCTGAGAAAACAATTTTTTTATACCTACACTAAAAAGCATTTAAAAAAAAAATTAATTTACTTAGAAGATCAAAGCAAAAACTTATTAAGAAATTCAAAAATATAAATTATTAAATATAAATTAAATTACACTTAGGATTGAATAAATTTGCACTTTTGACCTTTGCAGGCATATTAGGCATTTATTACTGTATAATGTGCAAATTCATAGATTATTATTGATTCAAGATTGATATATTAAAGAAGTAATTTGAAAAGGAAGTTACTGCTTGATTTGATCAATGTAAAATATTTTGTGATACAGAAAACATTAGAGGTTTGAAGTGGTGTTTATCATTTCTAGAGGACTTACCATAGATTCTCTAATAAAATCTTCTGTCTGGAACGAGGATCTGTCTTTTTATTCCATATCTTGGGACAAAATACAGATGCAAAGATCCAGAAGATAACAGGATCTGAATGATTCTTTTTTCCTTACATTGTGAAGGAATCATAACAAAGAGTAAGCATATACAGCATCATGTTTTGTTTGTTTGTTATTTATTAACAAAAAATAGATTAGGGGTCACACCAGACCAGGGGTCACTACTCACACCTACTTATCATATCCCTATGTGATATTAACTACACTTATAAAGTCAATAACAATTACAGGCACAGTTTACCTTAAGATAAATTTGGTTATTCTTTATAGGTCCCTTTTAGTTGTGGTTCTCCTCACATTTTCAAGTATTTATAAAACCTTCATTTTTTTGCTTGAATGTTTTTTATGAAGGTAATTTCCAGAAAAGTTCTTCAAACTCACAGAATTGATAAAATGTTATTTTCATTTATCTGCTGTACCTGTTCCCAAGTCTTTTTATCCTCCTCTTTACTACAATGAGAATATGTGGCATAGGTAACTAATTATTTGGTTTAGTATTAATTAGATTGGCTTAAAAACAGTTTGTTATGATTTATAATATATGTCTGTAGACAATGGAGGAATAATGGTATTCTGTTATCTGTCTGTCTGTCTGTTCATTTGACTGTCTGTCCAGCCATGTCTCAGTGAAAACTCAGTATGCCTACCAAAATTTTACTCAATCATAGCTTTCATAAAGACTAGTCTCTTTTCTTAATTTTAACTACATGTATTTACAAACTAGATATTCCAGAGTTTAAAAATTATGCAGTGTATTTCACCTGTCTGTTTACAAATGGTTTCAGGTAGTTTGCTTTTTAGCAGAGGTGTTCAACAGAAAAGGATAGTGCCTCCATTTAGGAGTTTTTTCAACTGATTATTTGAGAATTTGAAACACCATGACAATAAAGACAACATCTAATATTTTCAGTAACAAGATATTTAGTTATTTATATACTAAGTTGATTTCCATTGAGACTTTGGCGAGCAATATGTCTTCTTACATTGTCTTAAGAAATTAAAGGACTTATAAAGCTAAATTTACGGTACCATTTTATGAAGTATTTTGTACTGCATGTTTATTGCTTCTTCTCAATATACATCAATAATAAGAGAAAAAACTTTTTATATAGGAACAATCAAACTTGAATTCTTATTATGTCCTCTGTTAAATGATTATTTTCTTTATATGTATAAATGATTAAAGTGACCTGTTGGTCCAAAGGGCTGGGTGTTGATACATGTAATTCATATTGTTTGTGGTTACAACTGATGAAAATTAAATACAATTTGTATAAATAATGTACTGTATGGCATATACTATATTGTTTATTTGTCATGACTTTTTCCCGCTGATACACATAATTAATATGGCTTCCACTAACAAAAGTTCCATTTGGAGCTACTGTGTTTAGAGACCTCTTATGTCAGTATACCATTACTACATACTACTCTAATGTTCTGTATGAACATTTACTAGAATATTTAAGGTATTGTTAAAAGGTATGCTATTTGGTTTGAAGGGTAATAAATTTAATTTAAGTATAGTGTATTGATTGTAAATTGAAACAAATTTAATGTAAATGCATTGATAGCATAGAGCCTTTTATCACTTAGTAACAAGTTACTTGTCTTACTGGATTAAATTAAGTCCCATTTTGTTATGTTGGCCATAAAACACATAATAAATTCCAATATTTCACAATAATGTTATAGCAGTGTGACTTTTAATCTATTGTTATTATGTTTGGTTGTATGTGAATATTTGGACAAATAACAGTTTGTATCCAATGATATTGAAATATTTCATGTGACCTGTTTGTTAAGAGTTAACTGGACATAATTTATAAGATTTCACTGTATAAATGCATTTGAGTTTATTGATAATGTCAGTTAATGGGGTATATCTATGGATAAAATCTGTAAATTCAATTTAAACAACTATTTCCATAACCCATTTCCACAAGAAACATTTGAACTTTTGTGAATGATTTGAAAATAATGAAATTGAGACATCTCAAGATTAATTTGATAGTTATATTTTAGACTATTATCTGTCTTGCAGTATGAAACTTTATTAAAAAAAAACCAAAGTATTATAATGGATGTTAAATACTTTATGATTCAGCAGTAATATATTGAAGTTATTTATGCATGTTTTGTGAGTCAATTAAATGCATAGAAATGAATCATAAATAAGTGAAACTCTATTGTGTCAGTCCGTTCTGTATTGAATTAAAGTCATTTAAAATACATTATACATGTCATATGGGAAAATATGGAATTACACATTAATAAAATGTAATAAGAAATACTAGTACATGTACAGAAGTAAATTTTATGTATATATGTCACTGTGTACATTTCTGTGAAATAACATTTTGGAGGGTATTATAATAATAGAAGGCATCAAAAGGGACATTTTAAAAAAAAGATCAACTTAACCTTTGTTTTTAGATAACTTTCTTTGTGGCTTTGAGGTAGTGTCTGTGCCTTGATTGATGCCAATCCAGGTCAAACCAAAGACTTTAAATTGGTATTTTCATCCTCTCCACCAAGCACAATTGTGTGTCAGAGCAAAGAATAGTCAGATCAGAGTTAGAAAGATCTGCATGTCAAAATATTTATTGAAAAGGGATGATTTAGAAATGTTATGGGAACACTAAAGAAAGAAAAAAATTACATTTGAAAATATTAGATTTTACCTTTTTCTGTTACAGATTAGAAATGGCATCACCTTTGGTGTGAGAGGTATATTGATACAAAATACAGAGGAAGAAAAAATGGCAGACATCACTGACTGTCTAGGTAGGAAGTCAACAGTTTGCATATACACTTTAGATGCAAGAAATATGGTCAAAGGCAAAGTAGCCACAGCAATAATGTAGTCAAAATTTTGTCTGTTGTCAATATGAAATCACTAGTACTACTGTCCATACTCGTCTTTTAATCACTAGTTTAGTTAAATGATATCTTGACAACAGAGTCATGATAAGTGGTAGGATATATCTGTATAGGATGTTGTTATTCTAAGCTGTAAATGACAAATAACATTAGCAACAACACACCTTTTGTATTCAGGCTTATCTTCTACTACCATCAAATCAAACAATACTAATTACAGTCTTATATTCTACTACAATCAAATCAAATAATACTAAATACAGGCCTATCTTCTACTACAATCAAAGCAAATAATACTAATTACAGGCTTATCTTCTGATACAATCAAATCAGATAATACTAAATACAGGCCTATCTTCTACTACAATCAAAGCAAATAATACTAAATACAGTCTTATATTCTACTACAATCAAATCAAATAATACTAAATACAGTCTTTTCTTCTACTACAATCAAATCAAATAATACTAAATACAGGCTTATCTTCTGATACAATCAAATCAGATAATGCTAAATACAGGCCTATTCTCTACTACAATCAAAGCAAACAATACTAAATACAGTCTTATATTCTACTACAATCAAAGCAAATAATAATAAAACAGGCTTAACTTCTACTACAATCAAATCAGACAATACTAAATACAGTCTTATCTTCTGATACAATCAAATCAAATAATACTAAATACACTCTTATATTCTACTACAATCAAAGCAGATAATACTAAAACAGGCTTATCTTCTACTACAATCAAAGCAAATAATACTAAAAACAGGCTTATCTTCTACTACAATCAAATCAAATAATACTAAATACAGTCTTATATTCTACTACTATCAAATCAAATAATACTAAATACAGTCTTATATTCTACTACAATCAAAGCAAATAATACTAGATACAGGCTTATCTTCAACTATAATCAAATCAAATAATACTAAATACAGTCTTATATTCTACTACAATCAAATCAAATAATACTAAATACAGTCTTATGTTCTACTACAATCAAAGCAAATAATACTAAAACAGGTTTTTCTTCTATTATAATCAAATCAAACTATACTAAATATAGTCTTATCTTCTGATACAATCAAATCAAATAATACTATATACAGTCTTATATTCTACTACAATCAAAGCAAATAATACTAAATACAGTCTTATATTCTACTACAATCAAAGCAAATAATACTAAATACAGTCTTATCTTCTGATACAATCAAATCAAATAATACTAAATACAGTCTTATATTCTACTACAATCAAAGCAAATAATACCAAATACAGGCTTATCTTCTACTACAATCAAATCAAATAATACTAAATACAGTCTTATCTTCTGATACAATCAAATCAAATAATACTAAATACAGTCTTATATTCTACTACAATCAAAGCAAATAATACTAAAACATGCTTATTTTCTACTACAATCAAAACAAATAATACTAAATACAGGCTTATCTACTACTACAATCAAATCAAATAATACTAAATACAGTATTATATTCTACTACAATCAAAGCAAATAATACTAAAACATGCTTATCTTCTACTACAATCAAAACAAATAATACTAAATACAGGCTTATCTTCTACTACAATCAAATCAAATAATACTAAATACAGTCTTCTATTCTACTTCAATCAAAACAAATAATACTAAATACAGGCTTATCTTCTACTACAATCAAATCAAATAGTACTAAATACAGTCTTATATTCTACTACAATCAAAGCAAATAATACTAAAACATGCTTATCTTCTACTACAATCAAAACAAATAATACTAAATACAGGCTTATCTTCTACTACAATCAAATCAAATAATACTAAATACAGTCTTCTATTCTACTTCAATCAAAACAAATAATACTAAATACAGGCCTATCTTCTACTACAATCAAAACAAATAATACTAAATACAGGCTTATCTTCTACTACAATCAAATCAAATAATACTAAATACAGTCTTCTATTCTACTTCAATCAAAACAAATAATACTAAATACAGGCTTATCTTCTACTACAATCAAATCAAATAGTACTAAATACAGGCTTATCTTCTACTACAATCAAATCAAATAATACTAAACACAGGCTTATCTTCTACTACAATCAAAGCAAATAATACTAAATACAGTCTTATATTCTACTACAATCAGATCAAATAATACTAAATACAGTCTTATATTCTACTACAATCAAAGCAAATAATACCAAATACAGGCTTATCTTCTACTACAATCAAATCAAATAATACTAAATACAGTCTTATCTTCTGATACAATCAAATCAAATAATACTAAATACAGTATTAAATTCTACTACAATCAAAGCAAATAATACTAAAACATGCTTATCTTCTACTACAATCAAAACAAATAATACTAAATACAGGCTTATCTACTACTACAATCAAATCAAATAATACTAAATACAGTATTATATTCTACTACAATCAAAGCAAATAATACTAAAACATGCTTATCTTCTACTACAATCAAAACAAATAATACTAAATACAGGCTTATCTTCTACTACAATCAAATCAAATAATACTAAATACAGTCTTCTATTCTACTACAATCAAAACAAATAATACTAAATACAGGCTTATCTTCTACTACAATCAAATCAAATAATACTAAATACAGTCTTCTATTCTACTTCAATCAAAACAAATAATACTAAATACAGGCTTATCTTCTACTACAATCAAATCAAATAGTACTAAATACAGTCTTATATTCTACTACAATCAAAGCAAATAGTACTAAAAACAGGCTTATCTTCTACTACAATCAAAACAAATAATACTAAATACAGGCTTATCTTCTACTACAATCAAATCAAATAATACTAAATACAGTCTTCTATTCTACTTCAATGAAAACAAATAATACTAAATACAGGCTTATCTTCTACTACAATCAAATCAAATAGTACTAAATACAGGCTTATCTTCTACTACAATCAAATCAAATAATACTAAACACAGGCTTATCTTCTACTACAATCAAAGCAAATAATACTAAATACAGTCTTATATTCTACTACAATCAAATCAAATAATACTAAATACAGTCTTATATTCTACTACAATCAAAGCAAATAATACCAAATACAGGCTTATCTTCTACTACAATCAAATCAAATAATACTAAATACAGTCTTATCTTCTGATACAATCAAATCAAATAATACTAAATACAGTATTATATTCTACTACAATCAAAGCAAATAATACTAAAACATGCTTATCTTCTACTACAATCAAAACAAATAATACTAAATACAGGCTTATCTACTACTACAATCAAATCAAATAATACTAAATACAGTATTATATTCTACTACAATCAAAGCAAATAATACTAAATACAGTCTTATATTCTACTACAATCAGATCAAATAATACTAAATACAGTCTTATATTCTACTACAATCAGATCAAATAATACTAAATACAGTATTATATTCTACTACAATCAAAGCAAATAATACTAAAACATGCTTATCTTCTACTACAATCAAAACAAATAATACTAAATACAGGCTTATCTTCTACTACAATCAAATCAAATAATACTAAATACAGTCTTCTATTCTACTTCAATCAAAACAAATAATACTAAATACAGGCTTATCTTCTACTACAATCAAATCAAATAGTACTAAATACAGTCTTATATTCTACTACAATCAAATCAAACAATACTAAATACAGTCTTCTATTCTACTACAATCAAAACAAATAATACTAAATACAGGCTTATCTTCTACTACAATCAAATCAAATAATACTAAATACAGGCTTATTTTCTACTACAATCAAATCAAATAATACTAAACACAGGCTTATCTTCTACTACAATCAAATCAAATAATACTAAATACAGTCTTATATTCTACTACAATCAAATCAAACAATACTAAATACAGTCTTCTATTCTACTACAATCAAAGCAAATAATACTAAATACAGGCTTATCTTCTACAATCAAATCAAATAATTATTTTTTTCTTTTTTTTTCATTTAATGTTAAACACATTGAATTATTAGACTTCTGAATTTACTGGTCAGCCTTGTCTCTTGTTTTCAGGGACTTTTGCTTCTAGGATTTTTCTCTTATATTACAATCTTTCCTTTATTTTAAATGCTAGTAGATAGAAATTATTCTGCAGAGGTAAATACAAAAAAAGATATTTTATGAAATGAAAAACTGAAGTATACATACAACCAAAAATAACCAAACAATATGAGAAGTATTAAGCTATCAGCTATTCTGTAATATTCCCATACAATTCTTTATTATATAGATACAAGCCAACAGTATCCATTTCCAGTACAGATGTTATCCAGAAATATTTCTGAACAGTTACTGATGTATTATTCAACACTAAATAGTGAGTTTAATATAACATAAAAGAAAGGATATGGGGTATCCATCCATGACACAAAATCAGTATATGCACAGCATAAAACACAAAAAAGGCAAAGGAACAGCTCTTTTATTGCTGTTCTTCATCTCAAAGTCACAGTGAGGCCTTCAACATGGAGCAAAAATACTCTCGCCTCACTGCAAGTTTGTGACGGCCCTTAGCACCGGTTTGAGTGGAATTCTTTGCAAACAGACGATCACGCCACAACTGTGAATTGAAGAACAAAGCCATGGAGTTATATCAACAAAATTGTTTACTGAACAAATGTTGACTACAGTGGCTGTGGTGGTCTGGTTAGTTGGTTGATATTTATCTGTATAGGTCACATCAGCTTGGCAACATGTAAGGCTTGAAAATATGCTCTTGCCATTTACAACAAGGACAGAGTGCTTGATGTCGTAGGCAGAACATATCAACTATAGTAGAATTAACTATTTTTGTTATTTTTCTGTACTTTTACATGAGTACTGTAAAATAGTCTTACTAAAATAGTGCTTAGAAATAATGAATCATAATCAACAAGTCTTCACATTCCTGAATAGGAATAACTATTCATACTTACCTTGTCTTCACATGTCTGAACAGGAATAACTATTCATACTCACCTAGTCTTCACATGCCTGAATAGGAATAACTATTCATACTCACCTAGTCTTCACATGCCTGAATAGGAATAACTATTCATACTCACCTACCGTAGTCTTCACATGCCTGAATAGGAATAACTATTCATGCTCACCTAGTCTTCACGTGTCTGAATAGGAATAACTATTCATACTTACCTAGTCTTCACATGCCTGAATAGGAATAACTATTCATACTCACCTAGTCTTCACATGCCTGAATAGGAATAACTATTCATACTCACCTAGTCTTCACATGCCTGAATAGGAATAACTATTCATACTTACCTAGTCTTCACGTGTCTGAATAGGAATAATGATTTATACTCAACTAGTCATCACATGTCTGAATAGGAATATTGAATTATACTCAACTGATCTTCACATGTCTGAATAAGAATAAAGAATCATACTCAACTGGTCTTCAGACGACTGATTAGGAATCTATAATCATACTTAACCAGTCTTTACAAGTCTGAATTGGAATGATGAATCATACTCAATTGGTTTTCACCTGTCTGAATAGGAATAACAAATCATACCCACTAAATTGAATTAGAATAATGAATCATACCAAGATAGTCTTCACAAGTTGGAATAAGAATAATGAATCATATTATACAAACCTTGTCTTCACAAGTCTGAAAAGGAATAATGAATCATACAAACCTTTTCTCAACAAGTTCAACTAGGAAGACTGAAACGTATTAACTGTTCTTCACAAGTCAGAGTGATAATAATGAATCATACTCAACTGGTCTTTACATGTCTAATAAATAATAATGAATCATACTCAATATGTCATACACGTCTTAATAGGAATAATGAATCATGCTCCTCAACTAATATTCAAGAGTCTGAATAGCAATGATGAATCATACTCAACTAGTCTTCATAAGTCAGAATAGGAATAATGAATCATACTCAACTAGTCTTCATAAGTCAGAATAGGAATAATGAATCATACGCAACCATTCTTCACAAGTTTGAATAGGAAAAATGAATCATACTAAGCTATTCTTCACAAGTCTGAATAGGAATGATATATCCTACTGAGCTATTCTTCACAAATCTGAATAGAAATAATTGATTATATAAGCCTTGTCTTTACAAGTCTGAATAGGAATAATGAATCATACTCGACTTGTCTCTACGAGTCTGAACAGGAATAATATATTATACTAATCTAGTCTTCACAAGTCTGAATAGGAATTTGCATTTCCCAAAACATCAGTGTAGCAAGGATGTTTCTAAGGGGGTTGGGTGTATTATGGGGTCATGTTTTTGTCAAGCCTGCATAAATTAGCCAGGTTTTGGGGACATAGTTGCATTAGAATTATTTAAGATTGATTTCATTCCTTTTTACCATTATTTGAAAGATTTAAATCCCTTGCCCTTATCCTTTTTGTAAGGGGCAAGGGCACAAGTGTTATAAATTTAGAAATAATTGTATCCTTTCAGGAAATGTATCTGTAAGATTGATGTCAAATTATATGCAGATAACACAGAGTGTCAAGAATGTGGTCGCTAGTATAACAGGAGATTTAGAACGAGGTAAATATCAAACTGTTAAATATAAATAAAAGGGTAAACATCAATTAGACTGCAACCCAATAACAATTATTACCAAAAGATTATGATCAAAAGACATCCAGAGGGCAACATACAGTCTTCAACAAAACACAGGTTTCCATACAATATGTCAAGCTCTTATTTTGTGAAGAGTCGATAAAAATTAGGAATGAACAGAAACAATAAAAAATGCCATGACCCATACATTCTTATTTATACATATATAATCAAATTTTGTTTCTTTACTAAGGATTTTACACAATGTCACAAAGGAGTAGGCCTGGTAAGACCCCTTTTCAGCCCCAAAATATAGCATTTTAAAAATATGTTAAAATTGTAAACTTTTAGCTATTTATTGGAAAGTAGAATAATTTTGTTACATAAATCTGGGCTGTTTTTGACAATACAATGCTCATGCATCAGGAACTAGCATAATAAATTCAAAATAACTGTTATCTTCACAATTTTAGCATTTGTGCTTATTTTTATATGCCCGTCAAAATTTTGACGGAATGTATTATGGTATACAAATGTCCTGCTTCTGTCTGTCTGTCTGTCTGTCTGTCCATCTGTCCGTCTGTCCGGCGTCCACTTGTCTCACCGTAACTTGAGAACGACTTATCCAAATTTCATGAAAATTAACATAGTTGTTTCTTATGATGGTCAAACGATCTGTATACTTTTTGGTGAAAATAAGATTAAAACTTTTTGAGTTACAGGACTTTGTAACTAAAACAGGGGGGTGTTTTTTTCACATGTCACGCCGTATCTCAAAAACGATTTATGATTATTGCTTAAAACTTTACACACTTCTTAATACTAATCTAAAGATCTGTATACTTTTTGGTGATAATTCAAAATTTTATTTTAGAGTTATTGAGTTTTTTGTAAATAAAGGGGGGGGAGGGGGGGTTTCACATGTCGCGCCATATCTCAAAAACGATTTATGATTATTGCTTAAAACTTTACACACTTCTTAATTATATTAATCTAAAGATCTGTATACTTTTTGGTGATGATTCAAAATTTTATTTTAGAGTTATTGATTTTTTTATAAAAAAAGGGGAGTTTTCACATGTCGCGCCGTATCTCAGAAACGATTTATGATTATTGCATAAAACCTCACACACAAGACAACGGGCATATCATGCGCTTGTGGCGCAGCTGTTTATTAAAAGGTTTTTGTCTGAAATGGAAGTGACCTCACTTGTGTTCAGTCTAAATATTCAAATATATGCTGTAGTTTATGATAATACATAATATATATAAAGGTTGAGACTGAATAAAAATGCGGCCACTTCCATTTTAGACAAAAACCATCTGAAAAGTGATGTTTTGTAGCATATTTAAGAGATTCTTCATATTTAAGCTTGATTTTGAGCGTCTTTAATGACCAAACTAGTCCCAATCTTTAGGCCAAAATTAGCCCTTGGCGGATCTTCTCCTTTTGAAGAAAGTGTTTTGTGAATTTGTTACAACAAAATCAGTATTAGTTGCTATCATTATCACGGTCATGGTAAATAGATGCAAAAAAATTTAATTGATATTACTGTTTGAAAGATAATTTGATGATACTTGAAGTTTGTAATTTTTATAATGATGTTAAATGCAATTTGGCTTCCATTGTAGAATATGGATTAACACGAGATCATATAAGAAATTGTCTCCAAAAAATGTATAACCAACTGAGGTCAATTGTGCATGAATAATATAATACCTAAATGATTTTCCTTAAATTGAGTAGCTTCAATTAAAAAAATCAATTTTAACCAAATTTAGAGTGAATGCTTTAGATTCATTCAATCGAAAACAACCATGAAAAAACCTTCCTTGAAACATTTTCAAACAAAACTTGAGCAGACTGATCCCACTATCTATCAGTGAATTAAATACTTTAGGTTAGACATTGACAAGTTATAATTAAGGCTCCTTGGAGCTTCTAAATGATTTGATTTAATAAATCTTTTTACAGATGAAAACATTTTTTTATTCATAACATTTATGAATTACAGATAGATTTATCCTGATTGGTGCCTCCAGATCAAAGCTACAAGTAGGTACCAGCTATCTGTTAGAGTTAGCCAGAAGTTTTAAAGACATGCAGAGAGGAAATGGATGGACTCCATGGAGAAGTGTCAAATTTTATTCCTGGGACCATGATGGTATCTCAGATCTGGGTTTTAGTCAGTACCTTAAGGTAAAGAGATCAGTTTGTATCAACAGTCAATGAAACATGTACAATTGTAAAAACCTAAAGGTTGATGAGATTATTGAGGTATCCAGGTGTCCATTATGGCTTCTGTCTCCATGGCCATTTCCCTGAAACTGATAATAATACAACAAGTGTTTACAAGACTTAAAACTGTGGGTTCATGATACAACTTTCACCAAGATTGCAGAATCCTTCTAATTACTAGAACCATAGGTAACTCCAAACATTTACACAAAACATACTGACATATTGATCAAAAGTATTAGTATACAATTTACTATTGGAAATACCTGCATATTCAAAGTGTTAATGACAGACATTATTCAATCTTCAAGACCAACACTTTCATATTCTCTGTAGATGCAGACCATGTCCACCCAATCATCAGCTGTAGCTTACATTGACCTTGACCTTGCACAGATTAGTAATGGATCTCATTGGTTACATCTAGCAGGAAGTTCAATGTTCTCTGAACTTGTTAGCAGTGTGGTAAAGGAGGTAAGGAAACAAACATAGACAAGTCACATATAAAATACTGCTAAATCTTCCATAAGCGTGGCAAATTCTCCATTTTTTAATAGGCATTTGTATGTGGAATGTGTTTGTATAGAGAAGAACTTCAACATACTAAAATGAAAAGTTCAAGTAAAGTTAGCATATTCTTAGTATATGCATGTGCTATGTGTTGACACTCATTACAAATAGAGGCATTGTGTGTATTAAAAAGAACACATCCACAATGAAAAATGCAAGACAAAAAATGGCTATTTTCATAGCTATTTTGCTTTCAGTTCAAATAAAGTGACATTCCTTTCATGTCAAAACTATACCTTTATTGTGCTGAAAATTTTCAACATTCAATTGCATATTAGAGAGCACTGGTACCTGGAAATTTGGTAGTTCTCAAACATGTACTTCTGGTCTGAGCAACAGGGAAAATTTGCCCTCCTATTTGAAGGAGTAAGTTCAGTAAGGGTCATATTTGGCCATGAATATTAAGTCCATTGTTTGAAAATAAAAATGTTTCAAGTGGATGAAAAGACACGTAAGAAAATGAAATGGAACTTTTTTTGTGTAGCTTTTTTTAAAGCCTTAATATTAACAACCCAAATAGACCAAAAGTAGAAATTTTGATGAAAATTGACAAAATCATCTGAATTTCTACCAAATTTAGGCCTATGAAGCATAGAACACAGGCTTGGACAAACTAAATATTCAAATTAGATATTTAGAATGTTACAATAGACAATTTGTTAAAAGATCTTTCTTGTCAACGCATGCGCTCTAAGTTTCCAATCCAAAAAAACAATGGAAATTTACCTGTTTTCTGTAGTTTTCATTGAATATCAATATATGTGTGCTATTTGTGACATCATGAAAACAATGTTAATAAATAAATTTTCAACAAAAAAGGTATATTTCCTACCTAGTCTATGGTTTAGCTATGATTCATTGTAATATTTGTCAACAAATCCTAATTTGAATTTTATAAAGCTAGAAATAGGGGCCATTTAAGGGCCTTATCGAACCTACTCCTTTATATATGTTTTTATTATTCAAAAGAATTTTTCAACAAAAGCTTTCATTTGATAACATTACCCAAATATTTTACTTATTGACAAAGTTACAGCTATGCATAGAAACTATATTGTTTAAAACATGTAATACTTTCTTGGGGGTCTCATTGGAGGGGGATCTGATCCTGGATCCGGCTTATCTTTTTGTCAGAATCCTGTATCTCGCTTATCTTTGTAATAATAGCGCTTGTAATTTCATGTGTCCCGCCTGACTTCATTTCCTGTTTTCATGCAAAATAATTTGACTTTTCAGGTGTCACGCTTACAAAAAATCAGCCAATCCCGCTTACACTCCAATGAGACCCACTTTCTTGTATGTTCTTATCTAAATGCCCAGAAGTAGTGGTTGTATAACTTTAGAAACAGCTTTTTTTGATGAAAATAAACCTTTTTGAACGAAATTTAGATCAAATATGTTTGTCTAGAACAATTAGATATGTTGTACAATTTATTTTTTTTATCTTACGTGACAGGTTCCAGATCCAAATAACGATAATTTAGTATTAGAGAACACATGGGATGGTTTGTTACACAATATGAAAACAGAGACAAAGATCCAGCAGTTTGGGGTACCAGTCTTTCATGCTTCTGTATCACAGACACATAACCTTACTCAGGTAACTGTTACTAAAATATTTAGAAAGATAATGAGTTACATTTGTAAACTTTATCTTAGCTTTTATCTCCTATGCAATAAAATTTACTGAAAGCTGAGAAGACTGCGTGAATAGTTGTTAATATTGTCATCAGTTATAAAAAGGAAATTAATTTATTTAAGTATTGCAATATCTTTTCCAAATAAATTATTAAATATAAGTTCCACCAGTAGTAGTATTGTGTGCATTATGATATATTTGTTATTTCAACAGACATCAGATGATGATCACCATCACATGTACAGTTTAGCAGCAGCAAGAGTTGCTTCCCTTGTAACACTTAGACTGTTGGATGAGGAACTTCTACCATTCAATATAACATTCTTTACTAGTAATGTTTATAATGCTATAATGAAAACAGTGCTGTTGATAAAAGAAAGCAGTTCAAAACTTTTAAGTACAGGTAAATATAGTAGTTTAATTACATGTTTTTAAAAATCTCTGTTTGAATCAGTTAAGTTTGAATGATGCATAAAGAAACATAAAAAAATTATTGCTACGCAACACGGTCGTTACAGTAATCTTTTTTATTTTTTGATATTTTTTGTTTCTCTAAATTTTGAGACTTTTTTTATTTTTACACAAAAAAAATGAGTACATTGATTTACTCATCATCACAGAAATATTCACAGCAATAATATATCATTTTTAAACATAATTCTGTAGACAGAATTTTGAGAAATTTTAATTTTAAATGAACTTTTTTAGTACATTCTTTATATTTTTTTTTTATAGATCTTTTTCTTAAGTTCTGATTGATTGTTCCTCTGGAATAATAAATGCTTTATATATCAATTTTTATAGACCCATCATTGCCAGGATGTATTATTGTTTACCATTGTTTGTCTGTCAGTTAACAAGTATGTCATACAAAAACTTGAAAATGATTTGTTCAAAATCATAAAACTTGCATGAAATATTTGAATTGGTGAAAAAAGGCTCCTTTCCAATTTTGAAATTTTTTGGTTTGTCGTTCCAGAGTTATGGAACTTTAACATCAGATTTATACAATTTTTCACATATCATACACTAAGTATGCTTGGATTTATGTACTCAAAACTTTATGCTGTGCTGTTGTTGGTATTTATAAAAGAAAACTCCTTTTTTATATTCATAATTTCTGATGTGTTGTTCTAGAGTTACAGGACAATGACCGTCAGATTTAAGATAATTTTTCTCATGTTGAATATTAGAGTATGTTTGGATTGATTTACTTGAAAAGTTACACAACTGTTGCAATTGGAAAGTAAGCTGACTTGGAAAATTTTCCTGTTTGTCTTTCAAGAGTTATGGGACTTCAACCCTCAGATTTAGGTAATTTTTCACATTATGTACTAGCAAGATAGTATGCGTAAATCAATTTCCTACATACTCTGCTACATAGTTGTCTGAATGTAGGCTCCCTTTCAATTTTGAACTGTTTTGTGTTTGTGGTACCAGAGTTATTGGACTTTTAACTGTCATACTTAAGGCAATATTTTTACACCTTAAGCAGGGATGGGGTGGATATCTTTGAAATGTAATCAATTAAATTAAAATTACATTGCTAATTTAATGTAATCTATTACATTACAATAACACCTAAATTCAAATGTAATCAATTACATTAGATTATTTTTCTTTAAAGTAATCGTGATTACTTTGGATTATTTATGACTACATTGTTTTTTATAATATTAAAGAATTTCTTATAAACTTTTTATCCTCACAGAGAAGATACTTTTTGTGAAAATTTGTAGCTTTTTATTTCTTTTATTTATTCATCTTATTGATAATTTAGACTAGGAACTGTGTAACATGTGTAAATTTTGATACCATAGACAAGTGTCCTTTTTCTATAAAAGAATTAACTCTGTTTTTATAAAAAATTGAGTCAACTGTAAATATCCGATTAACAAAAAAAACCTAAACAAATAATGAAAAATTAATTAAGTAGTTTTATTGTCTGTGGGGATATAATGGACTCAAACATATGTTTTTACAGGTGTTAATCATTACTTCAATATTTTTGAAAAACAATACATGGCTTGGGTATTAAAAATTAATTGTCTTAATTGCAATATCAATAAAGTTATAAGCAGTTTATTCACATAATGTATATAATTGTTTGAAAATAACTATAATAGTTAGAAGCACATAATAAATTATTTATGGAATACAAAATTTATACAAATTGTAAAAAAAATTAATTTCCATTGATAAACATTTATGTTGATCATTGAAGTCAAAATTGGAACTAAATTCCTTTAATGTTCTATGCTTTTGAATTTTCCAGTAGTTATAACAAAATATTGTGTAAATTAAAATTGGAGTAAATATCAGAAGTATTCCATCAGGGAACATACAATGCTTTCAAAGCATATTCTTTTATCACAAGGACTCAATCTCACAATGAAACGTTTGGAAAGGTAAATTCCTTTAGAGAACTGTTTACAAATAAAATCACACATTTCCACTCTACATGCCCAACTTGGTTACACTAAACTTGTTATGTAGAAGATATGATCAATCATATTGAACTATGATCAATCATATTGAACTATGATCAATCATATTGAACTATGATCAATCATATTGAACTATGATCAATCATATTGAACTATGAGCAATCATATTGAACTATGATCAATCATAGTGAATACAATTTTGATAACTTTTTTCATTCATACTTAACATCTTCTTATTTTTATATTGTATATCAAAAACTATTTTCATATACAAAATTAGTAATCAGCAAGTAATCATATGAATGTAGTCTTAAAGTAATCTAAAAATAATCATGATTACACCTGATTTTTACATTGTAATCGATTAAATTACAATTACTTGTGATTAGAAATTGCATGATGACTGATTACATGGGATTACATTGCAAAATCTAATTGATTACAGCGGATTACAATTACTGATTATGATTATCCCATGCCTGACCTTAAGGATATCAGATTATCCTCATGCCATATATTTTATAGGACCAATTTACTGACTTCTGGTTATATGCCTTCTAAATATTCCATTTTATTATTGCAACAATTCCAATAATTCATTGTAGCTTATGTAATGGATTAAAGATTTTTCATACAAGTTTAAAATTAAGGGAAAAGCTGATTTCTGTCAAAGGATGAGCATGATCTAGTGCAAAATGTCTATAGGGCATAGGTATGATACTAGAAAACTAAAACTCATGTCATCAAATTCATAAACAATATGTTTTCCTAAGGATGTATTTTTGGTCTTTAATGTTATTAGGTTGCCATGTCATTGTCGGATATGCTGTATTTCTTTTGTGCATAGTTTAAAAATATTCAAATAAACTTAATTCTAATGAAATGATAATAAAACCTTTTCAGATATTATACTCGAACAGGCAACTGAATTGAAAAATGCAGGAAAGACATTTTCTGAATACATTCCACAACTTTTAAAATCCAAGGATCGTTTAGCAGTGAGAAGAATAAATGATGCAATAATGAGATTACAGAGAATTTTATTAATGCCAAATAAATACAGGTAATTATTTAAATGCTATTCAAAAACTTGTATATTGATAATTGAATGATAAAGTGCATATATTCAAATTGTTTTCCAGTTGAAGGGGGAATCTAATCTACACTGTACAAAGGGGGAATCTAATCTACACTGTGTACAAAGGGGGAATCTAATCTACACTGTGTACAAAGGAGGAATCTAATCTACACTCTATTCAAAGATTGGATCAAATCTACACTGTGTACAAAGTGAAAGGAAAAGGGGAAATCAAAATTTTCAATCCATAAAAAGATATACATAAGGAACAAATCAAAAGCTGTTCATGAAATAAGTATTTTGATTTTGATGTAGGATGGGAGAAAACTATAAGTTTATCTACACTGTTAACAAAGAGAAGTCAAATCCATATCATGTTCAAAGGGGGAATAAAATCTATATTGTGTGCAAAGGGAAATTAAATCTGCACAGTGCTGAAGGAAAATGATATTAGTATGTACATATAGATTCTTACATTGATACCAGTTGATTATCGGATTTATCCAATCGAGATAGTTAAATTATCAATTTTAAAGTCTGAGCCTTGGCGAGGACTTTAAAATTTATAATTTAACTATCGAGATTGGATAAATCCGATAATTCACGTGTAACTATGTAAGAATCGGTTTCTCTAATGATTTAAAAATACATTTTCATCTTTTGTTAAACCAAAACCCCCTTCGAGTGCCTTCCACATTTCACAAAGTTGTCAATTTCATTAACACCTGTTAGCATATTTTGAGCTGATAAAGGTTATGACCCTTAAATTCATCCAATCATCTTCTGAGATCACCGGCAACCACACGTTGATTAAATTTTTTTATACAATGAGTGCAGAAAGGTATAAATTGTCAAAGAATTAGAGAAACAGTTTTATCACCTTCATTGTCAACAGATATTGAGCTGATATTTGGTTATAATTATATAAATAGATATTCTTAATTATATACCAGTTTAATTCCACTTGACTTTGTTTTTATTTAATTACAATCATTGTGTAGAATCATTAGTTTAAGGTTATATATGACTCTGGGTGGGTTCTTTAGTTTATAATTGGCAATCAATACAACATTTCCTAGGACATGACAAATAATCATACTAAGAACAATAACTCTATTTCTAAGATCAGAAACACAAAATATATAATTTATCAAAGCAGCTCAATTCAAAATGAAGTTAACCATAATGAATAAGATATATTTTATTTTGTAATCATAATGAATAAGATATATTTTATTTTGTAACCAGTATGAATAAGATATATTTTATTTTGTAACCAGTACGAATAAGATATATTTTATTACAAAATTATATGTATCTGTAACAAAGTCTAGATCAAAATGCAATGATACATTAATCAGCAACACCAATTTAAAGTACAAATATAAATCATTTTTCTTTCACTGACAGAGTCAAATATTAGACATAGGTATACTGTTTCTGGCGGTGGTGGCGGCAGCGGCATTGTCAACAATGTATTAGTTTGTGATTAGGTCAGTTTAAAGGGGAACCACTAGTGGAAGGTCAATGATATTTGGTATGCAGTTATATAAGAATTGGCACATCTCATTTACGTGGAGATTATTTGACCCTCCCCCTCCAGTTATGGTTTATTGACTTGTTAAACTTGCTTAGTTTACATGCACTAGTTAATAATTAGGTCAGTGTGTGGTGGACTACTAGTGGTAGGTCAATGATATTTGGTATGCAGTTGTATTAGCTTTGGCAAATCTCATTTCCATTGATAATTTTTGGCCCTGTGTGAATATTTTGCATATCTTACATGTTAAAGAATAGCTATTTTAATTTCAACATTTGCATTTTACTATCAAAATAACAAGAAGGTGAGATATATCTCTGTGTTAAAAGTTTATCTTAAAACTCTTGGTTCTTTTATAATGTAATAAAAATGTAGAAAAAACTTGCATCAAAGAGAAAAGTAAAGCAAGTATCTGACCTTGATATAAAGATTGATTTCCAGTCAATTTCTGTAACCAGAATTATTAGTTAGACAAAGAATTCTCAATTCTATTTTCTGTATATGAAAATTAAAAGGGCCTTTCTGAAAATAGTCTGCTTTGTATTCTGACACTCATGGGGATATTGTGACTAAGTATGAAAATGAATAAAAGGAGATGTGAGATATATGTCAAAAGGACAGCAATAAAATGACACAAAACCAACTGTAAATCCTCCTGAGTATACAGATAGATTTACTTTGATGAATAATAAACAGTCAGATATTTAGAGATCTGAAACCAGTAAGAAATTGAATTGGTAAGATGAGACTGAAAACCACAGTATATTGTTTATCAGTAAATATGCATATGAAGAGGAGAAAAAGAAAAGTCAAAGATACCAAACTTATAAGTCGAAAAAACTCTGACAATGCCATGGCTGAAAAAGAAAAAGACAAACAGACAAACAACAGCACACAAAACACAACATAGAAAACTAAATCAATTCATGTAAAATTCTTTAGCTTTTGTACAGACAAGCTAAATGCATGAAGTGTAGCTTGTATCATTAGTTGTTACTTCTCCTATGTATGACAACTAGCAGATTGGTTGGGTGCACAATAAGTATTTCTAGAATCTAGGTAGTTACAATCTACAACGCTCAATTGTATTTTGATTGTATAATGTGTAGAATAAGTTAAGAGGTTAGATATTAATGAAACATAAAAAATTAAAATGGTGTTTTCTCTTTACAGATCTCATTACTCACTTTTGCAAGAAAGTAAAACAGAGGGACTTTCGTCTTCCATTAAAAACTTGTTACCATTAGCAACAGTAACTAATGACTACAGCCAAATACAGTGTTTATTAAAAAGCATTGGACAAGTTTTACATGAAGCAATATTTTGTTTGCAAAGTATTTGATGTATGTTTCAAAACTTTGATTTTAATTGTTTGATACTGTTGAATGGTGGTCAAAGAGAGTTAGTTGTTTTCCAAGTATTTAATGCATTAATCTGTATGATGATACATACTTGAATTTCTGAGTAGAAGACCATTTGAATACTACTCCTATTTTTGGATTTATAGATGTGAATTTTTTAAAGAAGAGTAGTTTAACCATGTTCTTTTATTTTGCTATGAAAGACAGTTTACTTAAAGTTTTAAAACTTATTTATTGGAATAAATGTAAATTGTAAAAATTCATAAAGCAAGTGAAACATTTTAAAACAACAGCCTATGATTTTGTTTATATGATAGAGTGAATGTGATGTTGATTTCCATAGAAATCTATAGATTTTGGTTTTATATAATTAATTTTTTATCTAATTGTCCAATCATTTAGAAATTTGACACACAAGTCTTTTAGACAATAATATATGACCAAATTGATTTTAAAAATTCCAACTTGAGTTACTAACTAAAGACAGAAAATTTAAGGAACAGTACCAAAGCAGCCAGAATTACAGATTTTCACACTGTATGTAATATGTTTTTTTCAGTTTTCATCAAGTACACAGCTTTTTTGAAAATACATTTCATGTAAATAAGCTAGAAAAACACTTATTTGCACTTTGTACAGTTTCACTTTGATCCTACTGCCTAGATTGTTAGGTCAAGAACAGGGTGTGAGTGATACTTAAAAAAACCAGGCAATGATTTCACATAACAATGCATTATCGTGACATTTTCATGTCAGTCCATATCAATTTATCAATGAAATGCATGCACCGTCATTCATTCAACTGAACAACTAAAACAATACTTTGTACACATACAAATAGTTTTGACAACTGCTTCATGTAATTTCATATTCTAAACCAAACAAAGGATATAGTTAAGACAAATTGCAAATAAAAATAATAATGGCATTTTATTTTTTAATACGTACCTCATCAGTTGAAATATCTGCTTGCCTGGTCAGGGTCGCCTGATATTCTTGCTGATAAAGTTAATATAGAAACAGAAATACCATTATTTTTTATGTATTTACTTGTTGCTGTGGTCATGTAATGCTGCCATTGTTATAGCCCTTTATTTAAGTGATCTATAAAATAAATATTTTTTTGTGTTTCTCAAGAAATATTTACTATAAAAATGAGTTTTTCAGAACAAATTGTAAAGATGAATGTTTGGTACTCTGTTGCACTCAATGTATGAAAGAGAACTTGTGAAAAAGAGAAAGAATGAATAAAAAAATGAACTTTACATTCATGAAAGGCAGCAACATTTTTTATCAAATGAAAAGTGAGCTCAAATATTTTGTCCATGCACTTAGGTAGATGATTTTACAGAGTGCATTCCTGAATAATTTTTGTCATTGTAAATTATATTATCGTATGATGGTCAATAAAAGTTTTAATTAATGTTTGTTAATTTTAATATTTTTTTTTATAAATGTATAATGTGTGTTTACTGCTATGCAAATTACATTGTATTTTTCACCACCAATTGATTAATTTGTCAAAGATTTGATCTAATAGTTCTTACTGATAAAGATATTGTCTTATAAAAAAAATGTTTCTTTATAAATATCTGAATGATATATACTAATGACTAATGAGATTTGTTTATTATGTTTAGTTTATCTTGCCAATTATGTAGGAGTTGAGATGACTATACATTGCTATTATTATATGCAATTTGTTTTATTTATATGTGACTTGTATGATTTTTATTGTTCCTGAGCATGTTTTTTTTTTTCATTTTGTTAGTTACCTCTGTCTTTCCATCAATTTTAGATACTTGTACTTAAATTGTCTGAAATGTATTATTTTGTGTAAGCTGAGTATAGAATGTTATTTGGTATGAAGATAGAAATGGATATTAACAGAGTTTCTTCCATATTGTTTTATATATTGTAGAATTACAACCATTGGACTTAACTAATGACGTCAGACAGTGTAGTTGACCTACCAACACCTTCAGCTCATTTTTCATTAGACTATATCATACCATTTATTTACACTTGATATATTTATCCAACATTTTTTTTCCTGAATTTAATTAGAAAGTCAATATTTTTTTGGCAAGAAAAGAAGAATATGTAAAAATTTAAACAAATGAATGCTAAAATAAAAATAAACTTTTGTTGATATTTTGGTTGTATTTTCAACAGCCTAAAACATTATTTTTTATTTATCTAGAGTAACTTTATAATATTTCACCTACCTGTCTGCTCAGTCACTTACTTCAGAAATCCATAATAGGCAGCCACTTAAGCCACAAATCCATAAAAGGCTGTAACTTTAGCCACAAATCCATAATAGGCAGCCACCAAGGCCACACATCCATGAGTCAAGAAATCAAGATAAAAGCAAATTTAGAAATTAATTTAAAAAGCAAAAGTTCTCATTACTTGTCTGATGGAGTTTAATTTTTTACATTACTCTATCATATTGATATCATTTTGTTATGTAGGACTTAAATTCAAATAACTTGCTTGTATTATGTCAAAATGCTGGTCTTATTCTATCTTAACAAGGGTTGGTGTACATCTGTTTTTCACACTGTCCATACTATTTGATTATTTCATTCATTCATTCATGATTATATGCACTGATCTCAAATTGAAAAAAAGTTTGTTCTTCCCATATAAATAATTTGTTGTATTATTTGTCTTTTGTGCCAAAACCTGTTGGGTTGTGCAATGAGATGTTGAACCTGATGTGAACATTGTAAATACTGTATATTATGTTAGTGACCATGTAGCAAAATGCAAAACCAGATATATTCAGGCCATATTATTTCTTTTAATGAGCAAATGATTATATTTATGCCCCACGGTCTGTGCGTCTGTTCGTTCGTTCGTTTGTCCGTTCGTTTGTTCATCTGTCTGTCTGTCCATCTTCAGGTTAAAGTTTTTGGTCAAGGTAGTTTTTGATGAAGTTTAAGTCCAATCAACTTGAAACTTAGTACACATGTTCCCTATGATATGCTCTTTCTAATTTTAATGCCAAATTAGAGTTTTGACCCCAATTTCATGGTCCACTGAACATAGAAAATGATAGTGCAAGTGGGGCATCCGTGTACTATGGACACATTCTTGTTATTTCTGCATCTATAATTATGATTTAGAGTTCAAAACATTATTGTCTTCTGCCAACTAATCTTGTTTTTAAATTGATTTTTCATGAGGGCCCAGCCGAATGGCGGGTCGCCCTATAGTGATGAGTCTGTTAGTCCGTCAGTAACAAATTGTGTCCGCTCTATATCTAGAGAACCATTATAATTTCATACTTTATACTTATCATGTATATTAACCAGCACCAGAGGGTGTGTCATAATGTTTGTACAACTTCCTAGGTCAAAGGTCGAGGTCAAAAACTTTGATTTTTCAGTTGACAACCCCATGTCCTATGGTAAAGATCGTGTCCGCTCTATATCTAGAGAACTGTTATAATTTCATACTTTATACTTGACATGTATATTAACCAACACCAGAGGGTGTGTCATAATGTATGTACTTCCTAGGTCAAAGATTAAGGTCAAAAACTTTGGTTTCAGTTGACAATCACATGTCCTATGGTAAAGACTGTGTCCGCTCTATATCTTGAGAACCGTTATGATTTCAAAGTTTATACTTGACATGTATATTAACCAACACCAGAGGGTGTGTCATAATGTATGTACAACTTCCTAGGTCAAAGGTCAAGGTCAAAAACTTTGGTTTCAATTGACAACCCCATGTCCTATGGTAAAGATACAAATTTTTTACCACACGTTATTCACAGCAGGGCCCACAGAGATGGCTCCCATCTCAATAATGTCTAGTTTGTTCTATTGTGATAAATCATGGCAGATAGAAGAAAATAAGTGATAAAAAATTAAAGGAAAGGAAAAGGTATGTTCTTTTTGTATCTATAAATGTGTCAGAAAATAACATGATCCCCAAAAATATTTATAGAAAGATTTTTAATAATTTATTTCCTTCTTATTTTTGTACACTGAATATTGATGGAACCTTTTAATAGAAAATAACATGACCCCCAAAATTGATTTAAAAAGTTTGATAGAACATATTGTAACATACAACCATCCATTCATTTGACCATTTACACTTTATACAATAAGTAAGAGTTACTTTCATGAAATCTAATGACACTGTTAAGAATGGTGAAGTATGCTCCCCTTCACCATTATGACGATTTTCAGAGTTTTGAATTTTTATGACTTTGGTTATATAAAACAAATAGTGTACAAGATAAAACAAAGTAACATGTTTTCTATAACAGTTTAACATTGGACAGTTATAATTTCACTGACAGCTTCATTTATCAATTTGATGAATTGGTGATTTGTTAAATTATGATGTTGTTCCCCAACATTTTTATTCAATGAGGATTTTGTATTCTTAAAATTAAAATTTCCTACAAGAATTTTTCTTGGTGACATTGACAGGCATGATCAACTTTTTTTTGTAATACCAAAGTCAGAAGGTAAAAGAAAACATTGATGTGAAATCATGTCTTAATTGGATTTTGACATATATAGAAATAAGATTGCATAAATCTATTTACTGATTGAGTTTAGATTCCTTTAATATAATTATATTCATTTTTGATGATTGATTATTCACTCATTTGTGTTTTGTTGTCATTGACATTTTGTAACAAATTTCTCTGTAAAGAGAAAATAAAATATATTTAGATACACTCATGTCTTTTTTATTGCTTATATAATATAATAGTTAATATATCAGTCAAGTCTAGACAGCTATCAAAAATGTTATATGGTAAGACGATGGGGAAACTAATAATGGTTTTCAATTGTATGTTTGGCTATCACATGGTTTGAATAAGGTATAACACAGTGTTCATATTGTGCAGGGGATTTGACAAAAAATTTATATGAAATGTTTGACCTTTATGAATAATTTCACATACAAATGTCTCTTGGTCAAAATATCAGTACATCAGAAGGTTGATATTCACCCTCTCACACACATCTCTGGTACCCAGACCGGAGTTTAAACTAGAATGGGTACTATGGGGGCCTCGGTTGGTCAAAGTTGCTCCCGACTTTGACCTGGAGATCAATCTGCTGATATCTCTTCGGTTTGTCTGTTCCCGCCGAGCAGCACGGTGGTTCTCTCAGAGTACTTCGGCTTCCTCCACCATAATAACAGATCAGCCCGGTGTCCTAACACTCCCTGGTGTTGGGGTGGAGATTGTCCTTGTTTATATTGAACATTGTAAATACGTTAGTGACACATCTCCATTAATCCCGATAGGGAGTTACACGGATTCCACTGTACCCTTGCAGCTCTCGAGGGGTGCTCCGTAAACAGAGGGATCTACGTACATACATCTGCCACTAGAATTCACACTCATAAGTGTTAAATATGTGTTCAATGACTGTGTACATGTTCATTTGAAACTATGTCAACTACTTCTTCAATCAATATTTTGGTAGAGGAAATACACAAGATTTAGTAAAAAAAAGTCGTTTGAGATGCCAGGCTTACGATTTAGAAAGCCTTATGCAGGCGTGAAAATTGCCTATTACATGTATTCATTTGTCAAAATTGTAATAAAGCTCTTTGTAAAACAAGATGATCAACCAAGTATGTACATATTGAAAGGAAATGTCCTGATGAAAATAATTTCATGCAAAGCATTTGCTGTGCAGATCATTTACAATAACGCTATTTACTGTAGTCAAATTTGCACCCACAGTAAAATTAACTCATTTATTATCTTACACTATTGAAAAATTGGGAAAAAAATAAAAGACTTTGTATATAAATGACCGTTTTTGAAAACATGTAAATAGAAATTGTATAAAGCAAAAGTGTTCAACAAATTTTTTACAATACAAATAAAAAATGCAATATGACTTAAATGCTTAATTAACCCCTTGTCATTTTAATTAGGTAAGAGTAATGCTTCATTACCAGCATGATTGACAACTGTCATGATCACTACACAATCAAAGACAAGGTGGGGCCTTATTAGAATGTCCCACCTTCTTAAATGCCAATCGTATTGACCACATTACTAATCAACCTCAGTCTTACATAATTAAGAAGATCCTTTATTATACATCTCAATACATAAATACTTGACCTCATTATTGAATACATAAATGTATATACTGGACGTTTGATTATAGATTTAATCATTGCCTTTTGCTTTTGATCTGCACTACATTAAATGATTAAAAAGATTTTTTTTTTCAAAAGAAAAGACAAAATAATAAATATGAATATTAAATTGAGTTGGTTGACCATTATAGAATATCCGTGAATGTTCCAATTGTCGTAACTACAATCCCGTCCCTTTTCCCCCCGAATGTGACCTTCCCAATTAGACTTATTACCGGGTTTGTACTAACATGATTAATACGACAGGTGCCACATGTGGAG